TTGGCGTTCAAAAATTGAAAATCTAAATTTTGACCAAAATCGACCAAAACAGCAAGGGGTTACATCACGTTTTTTCTCAAAATCAGGGTCGGTTCGAAAATCAAAACTTTTTTGATCAATTTTTTGGAATATCTCGGGTAAATATCGTCTGATTTTAGTATGTTATACCTTTTTCGATTCGTAAGGATCCCTACTTTCAATTTGCATTCAAACAAATCAAAAATCGATGGCTTAAAAAAAGTAATTGACCAAAAATCGATTCGTTTGTAAAGTCAACCTTTTCTGATGATTTTACTGAATATCTCGGCCAAATAACAGCCGATTTTGGAATGATATACCATTTTTGACTCGTAAGGATCAATACTATCGATTGGCGTTCAAAAATTAAAAATCTAAATTTTGACCAAAATCGACCAAAACAGCAAGGGGTTACATCACGTTTTTTCTTAAAATCGGGGTCGGTTCGAAAATCAAAACTTTGTTGATCATTTTTTTCGAATATCTCGGGTAAATATCGTCTGATTTTGGAATGTTATACCTTTTTGAACTCGTACGGATCCCTACTATCAGTTGGCATTCAAACAAATTAAAAATCAAAGGGCTAAAGTTGTTGACCAAAAATCAATTAGTTTGTAGAGTTTGCCTTTTTTGATGATTTTTTGGAATATCTCGGCCAAATAATGCCCGATTTCGGAGTTTTACATTATTTTGGACTCGTAAGAATCAGTACTATCGATTGGCATCAAAAAAAGAAAAATCTAAATTTTGACCCAAATCGAAAAATAAGCAAGGGGTTACATCACGTTTTTTCTTAAAATCGGGGTCGGTTCGAAAATCAAAACTTTTTTGATCATTTTTTTCGAATATCTCGGGTAAATATCGTCTGATTTTGGAATGTTATACCTTTTTGAACTCGTACGGATCCCTACTATCAGTTGGCATTCAAACAAATTAAAAATCAAAGGGCTAAAGTTGTTGACCAAAAATCAATTAGTTTGTAGAGTTTGCCTTTTTTGATGATTTTTTGGAATATCTCGGCCAAATAATGCCCGATTTCGGAGTTTTACATTATTTTGGACTCGTAAGAATCAGTACTATCGATTGGCATCAAAAAAAAGAAAAATGTAAATTTTGACCCAAATCGAAAAATAAGCAAGGGGTTACATCACGTTTTTTCTCAAAATCTAGGTCGGTTCGAAAATCAAAACTTTTTTGATCATTTTTTTCGAATATCTCGGGTAAATATCGTCTGATTTTAGAATGTTATACCTTTTTCAATTCGTAAGGATCCCTACTTTCAATTTGCATTCAAACAAATCAAAAATCGATGGCTTAAAAAAAGTTGTTGACCAAAAATCGATTCGTTTGTAAAGTCAACCTTTTCTGATGATTTTATTGATTTTATTGAATATCTCGGCCAAATAACGTCCGATTTTGGAATGATATACCATTTTTGACTCGTAAGGATCAACACTATCGATTGGCGTTCAAAAGTTGAAAATCTAAATTTTGACCAAAATCGACCAAAACAGCCAGGGGTTACATAACGTTTTTACTCAAAATCTGGGTCGGTTCGAAAAAAAAACTTGTTTGAAAGTTTTTTTGGAATATCTCGGGTAAATATCGTCTGATTTTGGAATGTTATTTCTTTTAGGAGCCCTTTCACATTAGCTGCAGCTGCAGCTATTGTTTAACAGCTGCCTTACAGCGCTCATCGACCTTCTGGGCATTTCTGCTCGCCTGGTACTTAAGCAGATTAAAACGACATAACTCCGCGGGAGTTATGTCGTTTTGGAACGTCATATCTCCCGCGGAGTTATGTCTTTTTAATGATGATTTTTTTGGAATATATCGGCCAAATAATGCCCGATTTCGGAGTTTTACATTATTTTGGACTCGTAAGAATCAGTACTATCGATTGGCATCAAAAAAAGAAAAATCTAAATTTTGACCCAAATCGAAAAATAAGCAAGGGGTTACATCACGTTTTTTCTTAAAATCGGGGTCGGTTCGAAAATCAAAACTTTTTTGATCATTTTTTTCGAATATCTCGGGTAAATATCGTCTGATTTTAGAATGTTATACCTTTTTCAATTCGTAAGGATCCCTACTTTCAATTTGCATTCAAACAAATCAAAAATCGATGGCTTAAAAAAAGTTGTTGACCAAAAATCGATTCGTTTGTAAAGTCAACCTTTTCTGATGATTTTATTGAATATCTCGGCCAAATAACGTCCGATTTTGGAATGATATACCATTTTTGACTCGTAAGGATCAATACTATCGATTGGAGTTCAAAAATTGAAAATCTAAATTTTGACCAAAATCGACCAAAACAGCAAGGGGTTACATAACGTTTTTACTCAAAATCTGGGTCGGTTCGAAAATCAAAACTTGTTTGAAAGTTTTTTGGAAAAATAAGCAAGGGGTTACATCACGTTTTTTCTTAAAATCGGGGTCGGTTCGAAAATCAAAACTTTTTTGATCATTTTTTTCGAATATCTCGGGTAAATATCGTCTGATTTTGGAATGTTATACCTTTTTGAGCTCGTACGGATCCCTACTATCAGTTGGCATTCAAACAAATTAAAAATCAAGGGCTAAAAAAAGTTGTTGACCAAAAATCAATTAGTTTGTAGAGTTTGCCTTTTTTGATGATTTTTTGGAATATCTCGGCCAAATAATGCCCGATTTCGGAGTTTTACATTATTTTGGACTCGTAAGAATCAGTACTATCGATTGGCATCAAAAAAAGAAAAATCTAAATTTTGACCCAAATCGAAAAATAAGCAAGGGGTTACATCACGTTTTTTCTTAAAATCGGGGTCGGTTCGAAAATCTAAACTTTTTTGATCATTTTTTTCGAATATCTCGGGTAAATATCGTCTGATTTTAGAATGTTATACCTTTTTCAATTCGTAAGGATCCCTACTTTCAATTTGCATTCAAACAAATCAAAAATTGATGGCTTAAAAAAAGTTGTTGACCAAAAATCGATTCGTTTGTAAAGTCAACCTTTTCTGATGATTTTATTGAATATCTCGGCCAAATAACGTCCGATTTTGGAATGATATACCATTTTTGACTCGTAAGGAGCAATACTATCGATTGGAGTTCAAAAATTGAAAATCTAAATTTTGACCAAAATCGACCAAAACAGCAAGGGGTTACATAACGTTTTTACTCAAAATCTGGGTCGGTTCGAAAATCAAAACTTGTTTGAAAGTTTTTTTTTGGAATATCTCGGGTAAATATCGTCTGATTTTAGAATGTTATACCTTTTTCAATTCGTAAGGATCCCTACTTTCAATTTGCATTCAAACAAATCAAAAATTGATGGCTTAAAAAAAGTTGTTGACCAAAAATCGATTCGTTTGTAAAGTCAACCTTTTCTGATGATTTTATTGAATATCTCGGCCAAATAACGTCCGATTTTGGAATGATATACCATTTTTGACTCGTAAGGATTAATACTATCGATTGGCGTTCAAAAATTGAAAATCTAAATTTTGACCAAAATCGACCAAAACAGCAAGGGGTTACATCACGTTTTTTCTCAAAATCGGGGTCGGTTCGAAAATCAAAACTTTCTTGAAGGTTTTTTTGGAATATCTCGGGTAAATATCGTCTGATTTTGGAATGTTATTTCTTTTAGGAGCCCTTTCACATTAGCTGCAGCTGCAGCTATTGTTTAACAGCTGCCTTACAGCGCTCATCGACCTTCTGGGCATTTCTGCTCGCCTGGTACTTAAGCAGATTAAAACGACATAACTCCGCGGGAGTTATGTCGTTTTGGAACGTCATATCTCCCGCGGAGTTATGTCGTTTTAATGATGATTTTTTTGGAATATATCGGCCAAATAATGCCCGATTTCGGAGTTTTACATTATTTTGGACTCGTAAGAATCAGTACTATCGATTGGCATCAAAAAAAGAAAAATCTAAATTTTGACCCAAATCGAAAAATAAGCAAGGGGTTACATCACGTTTTTTCTTAAAATCGGGGTCGGTTCGAAAATCAAAACTTTTTTGATCATTTTTTTCGAATATCTCGGGTAAATATCGTCTGATTTTAGAATGTTATACCTTTTTCAATTCGTAAGGATCCCTACTTTCAATTTGCATTCAAACAAATCAAAAATCGATGGCTTAAAAAAAGTTGTTGACCAAAAATCGATTCGTTTGTAAAGTCAACCTTTTCTGATGATTTTATTGAATATCTCGGCCAAATAACGTCCGATTTTGGAATGATATACCATTTTTGACTCGTAAGGATCAATACTATCGATTGGAGTTCAAAAATTGAAAATCTAAATTTTGACCAAAATCGACCAAAACAGCAAGGGGTTACATAACGTTTTTACTCAAAATCTGGGTCGGTTCGAAAATCAAAACTTGTTTGAAAGTTTTTTGGAAAAATAAGCAAGGGGTTACATCACGTTTTTTCTCAAAATCGGGGTCGGTTCGAAAATCAAAACTTTTTTGATCATTTTTTTCGAATATCTCGGATAAATATCGTCTGATTTTGGAATGTTATACCTTTTTGAACTCGTACGGATCCCTACTATCAGTTGCCAATTTGGGTCAAAATTTACATTTTTCTTTTTTTGATGCCAATCGATAGTACTGATTCTTGCGAGTCCAAAATAATATAAAACTCCCAAATCGGGCATTATTTGGCCGATATATTCCAAAAAAATCATCAAAAAAGGATGATTTTACAAATTAATCGATTTTTGGTCAACAAATTTTTTTGCCCTTTGATTTTTAATTTGTTTGAATGCTAACTGTTAGTTGGGATCAAATTCACTGAAAATTAAGATAAGAATGCCTTTCGTTAGTTCATATCCTCACGAGTCCAAAATGGTATATAATTAAAAAATCTGATATTATTTGGAAGAAATATTCCAAAAAATAATAAATATGTTGACTTTAACAGAAATAACCTAAATATTAGAAAGTTTTCAGAAATCTAAATATTTAGTGTTTTATTAAAATATCTGTATATTTTGTTCAGCAAATAATGCTTTATGAGCTTGATTTGGTTGTGATTTGGTAAAGTTGTCAATTATCACATAAAAATAATTGCATGATCAAATATGTTTGTACCTTCCCATAATTATGGCTTACCAGACACTCTTATAGCCATAGCCATAGTTATAGCTGGGATAGTAGCCATAAGGATAGCTGAAGCTAGGATAGCTGTAGGTGGGATAACCTCCACTGTATTTGTAGTAGGTGTTGGGATAAGGCGTCCAAGCTGGCCAAGCTGCAGCCGTCGTCGGCACATAGAAGCCATTGTAGTTGCGGGCCACAAACTGATGGCTCCCAGCCACAGGTATCAGGGCGGGCCCTTGAATGGCGGCTACTCCCGTGCTGGCAGGTATAACGCTGGCCCGGCTCAGTCCGCAGGCCAGCAGCAGGCAACTGATGATGAGCTGCAAACGAGTTAGTTAGTTACACTAAATGAACATTTTTTGTAACGCTTACCAGCTTCATGTTGGTTGTGTCTGAGAGAGAATGCGAATGTGCCGCTGGCTAGCTGGTCACTGTTCAATTTTGTCGCCTGCCCAGCTAGTTATATACACTGTCAATCGCCTGTTTCGCTGCATTTGATTTTCAAATGCAGCTGCCCGTTTTGGAGGGTTTGCCTTTTATGAAGCGTGCCCATTTGAGCGCTGGAACCGAGTGTGCAGCTCAAGGGCAGCTGATTTGCATTGCTTGAGCTTGGCTCGTTGACGCAAGACGCTTCTTCTGGGGTCGCTGTATATACAAATTATTTTGTCACACTATCTCATCAAATATAAACAATTTCAGGTCAATAGGTGCAAGAAATTCAAAAGAAACATAATTGAATTATATATTTTTCCTAAAACTGACAAAAATCGGAATATTTGCAAATAAAGTCGGTTCGAATAGTTTGTTATCTCTCGACTTAAAAAAGTTCCATTTTGTTATAATATATCACTTAAGACTTTTACTGATCGATTTGGTATACAACCTATGCAAAACTCAAGAGGTAAGATCAGAGTTTTTGTCTAGTATAATTTGATTTGGAATAATATTGTTACTTTTTTTAATACCGATCGATAGTCTTGATTTGTATAGGTATTAAAAGTCAGCATTTATTTTTAAGCCAAGAAATATGGTTTTCAAAGCGTAAATTTCACTTTTGTTTCGTTGAAAATTCCGCAGAATATGTATATATATATGCCTAGTTATATATATATATACATATATATTCTATCGAAATTCACATAAAGTTTTAAATCTGTTTCCAGTGCGGCCAGGTCTTGATCTCGTTGTAGAGCGCCGTGCCGGGGCAGGCGGTTGCCTTGGTCTGTCGATGGCCCAGCAGAGTGTAGTCGTTCTTTAGGTGGCCACCCTGTTTGGCCAGTTCAATCAAATCCTTGGCGTTCTGCAGCATCTGTGCCGAGGGCGCGCTGCTCTCAAAGTTGCCCAGAAATACGATGCCAATGCTCTTGCGATTGTAGCCGGGCGCATGGGAGCCCTGCAGTCCAAAGCCGCGACCCTCGTACACCTTGCCATCGCCAGCTACAATGAAATTGTAGCCAATGTCGCTGAAACTCCGTCTGCCCTTGTGATCCGACTGTATGTTCTTAATCAGGCGCTGGCACTGCTGCGACGTGGTGCACCCATTGGGATTATCCGAGTGGTGGATGATCACATATTCCACAGCGCCGTTCACACGTGAGGGAGACCGGGCACTCGCAGCACCCCAACTGCTGCGGGGTTCAATGGTCAAAGCTTGCGTCGTTGCGGGCAGCGCTGTGTTAAAGATTGGGATGATTATTGCCAGGTTCTATAAGTTGTCTGTTTAGTTGATTAATTACCAAAGGCGCAAAGCGCTGCAATCGCCAGAAACCTGAATGCTGCTGTGTTCATCGCTTGCCGTTTTACTTTTGAGATTTACTCAGCCAAACGAGCTGTTTAAATAGCCCGATAAGGCGGGGCAGTTGCCACTAGATGGTTGGGGTATGCTCATTTGTTTAATCGGTTTCGTAACAATTATTATAAGCCTTAAGATTTTATCAGAAGGGATATAATAAATATCTTATCTATTAAGTCTTGCGCTGAATAAAAGGAGTTTCTGCTTCTCAATACTCGATACAGTGCAATTTTAAGCACTTATTAAAATGATTCTGCATTGAGCACAGTTTGAACATCGAAGGGAAATCTAAGCCTCGCTTTAAAAAGAGTATACAAAATTCAACAATGCTGGGACATATTTCTTTTATGCTCTCGGTGATGTACCCGTGGGGGAATCACTTGGCCTTGCTAGTGATAAGACAAAAAACAATTACGCGCATACATAATATATTTCTATATATTTTTACTTTTAGCTACATATATTGAACATTGTCAGTATTTACCCAAGTCCCGTTTACTGTTTGATAGGTTCGCGTTTATGCTTGGCGCGCTTTTCGGGCTTTGGCTTGGCTTCTTTATGCTCCCTTTGAGGCTTCGCGTCGGGCAGAGCTTGGGCGCCCGCCTTGAGTTGCAGCTTCTCCATGAGCGTCAACGGTTTATCAGAATTCTTGTGCACCATCGATTTGCGTGTCAGGCGCAGCTTCTGCAGCTTTTTCTCGGACTTCTGATTCTCTTGACGCAGGCGCAGCTTATCCAGAGCACTCTTATAAATGTTCGCATGCTCCGCTTCAATGTCCGGCGAGACGGTTATCTCCTCGCCCATCGATTTGCCCACCTCGTAGAGCATTTTTTTGAATTGCGCCTGATCCTTGTCCGTGAGCAGAGTTATGGCTGTGCCTTTGTGGCCAGCGCGCGCCGTACGGCCCACGCGATGTATGTATGTTTTGATGTGGCGTGGCGCCTCGTAGGACACCACAATATCCACATTTGGCACATCAATGCCGCGCGCCAGCGCATCAGAGCAGATCAGGCCATGAATGCTGCCACGCGCGAATTCTGTAAGACGTTGGGCGCGCATTGCCGCTGACATTTTCGCGGAGAGCTCTTCCACCCTGGTGGGCGACCCCCCGAATAATTGCTGCAGCACAAAGGCCAGACGGTTGGCTGTGTCGGCGCTGTTGGTAAAGCACAGGAACCGCTTCCAGCCATTTAGTAGCACCATGGCGTACAATGTGAGCGGCTTTAGGCGCATTTCCGTCAGGCAGTACTGCTCCGTCAATTCCGCCGGCGTGGTGTACTTTCCAATAAATTGACTGCTCTGCTCTACGTCCTGTTCGGGCAACTCGGCGTTGCCTGGGCCTGGCTGTAGAACTGGCATTGTCAGCACTGTGGTAAACAGTTTGGGCTGAAACAGACGCAAATTCTGCAGCTTTTCGGGATCTTGCGAGAGTGTGGCCGAGAAGAGCAGCTTGTGCGGCTGCTTGCCATAGCTGTTGAGCAGCTCCTGATAGCAGAGTGGCGCCTGCACGCCCGTCAGCAGCTGATCCGTTGTCGTACGCACATGCGTGTCCAAGTGATAGAGCCAGTTCTGGAAGACAGCGTCCATTATGCGATCCGCCTCGTCGATGACCAGAAACTGCAGCGACTTCAGGCAGAAGCCTTTGGTGGCATGCAAATGATCCACTAGACGACCTGAAGGTATCAAATAAGCATTAGGGAGACAATCATTTGGCAAAGATAAATGCTTACCTGGCGTAGTCACTACAATGTCCACCTTAGAGTAGTAGACACCTTTATATTGCTCCAGCAGCTTCTCCTGCTCATCCTCTAGGCGATGCTGCTTGGAGAGCAGGCACACCTCCAGCTCTGTCTTGCTGCACAGTGCGTTAAACACCTTATACACCTGTAGCGCCAACTCAGCAACTGGGAGCACCACCAAAGCGCGCACTTTGCACTGTACGCGCTTGGCCAACAGCTGAACAATGGGTATGGCAAAGGCCAATGTCTTGCCGCTGCCCGTGGGTGCCGATACGCAGATATCCCGCGGCCGAAATGGCTCCGGCTTGGCCTCCGCCTCCAGTATCCAGGGTATAACGGCGGTTTGGACAGGAAACAGTCGCTTGATCTTCATTTGCTTGAGCACACTGCATGTTTGCTTATCCAGGTAGGGCAGCTGTTTGATGGATGCCACGTCCGTCTCGGCAGTGGGACTGTCTGGGTCCAGGCTACCTCCTTCGATGATCGTTGGATGCGCCAGCCAAGCAGGCAAAACCATTTCCACTTTTTGTCGCTTGGCCGCCGACGCATCTGCGCCAAGCACTTGGAAATCATTGGAAACCTCAGTTTCTGTGGGTTCAGCTGGTTGATCTGCCTTTGGCTCTGCTTCAGCATCTGGTTTCTTAGGTGCTGCTTCATCTTTTGCTGGCTGCTCAGCAGCAGGCACTGTCTCTGGTTTTGTTATTGTTGAATCGCTGCTTTTGTGTTTCCTTTTGCGTTTTTCTGCTTTCTGCAGCAGCTTCTGTAAAATTGCATCCTCGCTTGTGGCTTCGCCAGTGTCTTTTGTGCCTTTACTTTGATCCTCGGTATAGCTTTGGGCACCGAAAATATATATTAATCAATGCATACAATAAATTGTGTGTTCCAATTACCGATTTACTGTAAATAATTCCATTTTTAAAACACAAAAATTTGTAAAAGCCGCGCACGTGTTGCCAGTTGTTTACGTTTTTGCAATGCAAAGCATCGATGCCTTTGTCGATATATTAAAGAACAGCACTGTCATCGATATTTTGATTGGCATATCGATATATTGTACATGGTAAGCGATTGTAGCGCGCAAATTCGAATAAGAAACAGAACAAAGGGAAAGGCACACCTTACTTGCGGTTTAGTAGAAGAAATGTTTACAAATTTTATTTATAGAGTAACATCTACCTTAATTAACCAATTTATTAACGGAAATACATTCGAAATGAGTCCATATGCAAAACTGCAGGGGATTTTTATTTCCCTTTGCCACAGTTGACGTCTTAACCGCGTTGATGCGTGTACATAACTAACTGCCTCAAGTTCTACGCTCTGTGGATTTTTTACCAATCGTGACTCATTTAAGTCAGCGTCCACTCTGATTCGCCTTCACGTGCTTAAAAAAGACAAACGTCTGTCGCCAATTAAGCAAATGGTTATTCGCATAACGAAACCGGTTAGATGCGTTTGATAGTATCACTGAAGACTTGGCTAGGCTAAATTATCATTAATCATTACAACAGATTTAAAATGAATATTCAAATTCTATGCAAATCGGAGAAATTTTAAATTATTCACATGCTTAAACATACGTTTTGCCACCAAGAGGAAGATTTTGAATTGAAATCAATTTTCGGCTTGAAATATGATTGCACTTTTTGTCGGGCAACTGGATAAAGTGGGTAAAAGCGACCACAATAAAAAGCCAAGCTTAACATATTAAATACTTTAACAAATTGCGAACATAAAAACGCCACAAAATGCGTTATTTTTAGTAACAGCAAAAACAAAAGAAATATAGTTGCGAATGAACATTCGCTTCGACTTGAGCTAATTTGGGGTAAGCCCAGCTGGACGGGTTCTTTGTTTTGGCAGTGTTTTGCAGCTTCAGGACGGATGATTAATAGGCAGTTTACTTTTATTGAATGGTTCGGTTTGTTTTGTTCTTTTAAACGAGATAAGAATACTCACGAATACTCCGCTATCTCGGACTGAAGGAAATATGTTGATTGAATTGTTTTCCAGCATGTTTTCTCGCTCACACGCATGCTCCATATCTTTGTTATCACGCCAACTTGTAGGTGTCTGCACTTGTTTAAACAGAAATCTGTTTTCGTATGCCTTGAATGAGATAAAAAATAAAAATATTATTTCAACTTAAAATTAAGAACACGTGAAAACTTGTGCAACGTTTGTTAGAATAGCATTAGGTTCGCTTTGGCTATTCCATATTCAAATCGGGTTTGAAAATCTAGCACTCTATCTAAATTAATAATGCATTAAATATAAACTAATTTATTATTATATTTATATATAATTCCCTTTAAGCGACGGCATGCGAAAATCATGAAAAAACCAGATGATGACAAATTTAAATAATTCCTATGGAAACGTAACGCCCGTTGCGTGGAGCGTCATAACGGGGATTTCTCGCTCATCCCAAGGCGCCGTACTACGACCGGCAAAATTAAACTCGACTAAAAACAATAACAATAACACTAGCAACAACAACACACACCTATACACACAGCAGCCAGCACACCTGTCGCCGCTGAGCACAACCCGTTCGGAGGTGAGTTTTGACGCTCGGCGTTTTTTTTATCTGTGGGGTTCTCATTGAGCGATCGCAACGCTTTAAAATGCTAGGATATAAAAGCAGCCGCAGTCATTTGTAAGCGTTTCGCGTTCGAGCTCAAGACACTCGCGAACAGACGTACAAAAATCGCACACAAAACGCGCGAAAACTGCCAACTAAAAAGAAGTCAACGATTCAAATCGCTGAAGTTGCCGAAGTTGTGCAAAGTGTCGCCGCAGGATTAAGTGTCGAGAGTGCAAGGACTTAAAGTGACAAAAATAGTGACAATATTTAGAAAAATATCTTATATAAATATATACATCAATTACCATGTGGCAAATGCTTTTGAAGATCGCGCTTCTCTCCCTGGCGCTGGAGCAGAGCAGTCGTTTTGCAGCCGCCGCGTAAGTTTATTAACTGGACCACACCAGTTGTCCACACTTGTTGGGATTATGTCCAAGTGCGCCTTGATCTTGGGGATTTGCACTGAGATCTTAGCCTCAAGCTTACGTGCTAAAATATGCTGTTATCCACAACATCTCTCAAATCATAATTGCATTTAAATTATATAAATTTCAAAAATGAAAACTTGTCCACACATTAATTATTATACTCTGTTCACAAAGCTGAGAGAGTATATTGGTGGCTAGGGACTTAAAAGTTGGTATATAAACTATTGTCTAACCTTGGGTACGATAAGGTTTGGCAAGTCGGGTAATCTATAGTAATTAAGTTCTTTTAGGAATCGAATGTATATATATTTCTCTTAAAATTGTTCTCAAAATGTACACGAATGCGTAATGTGTAGTCGGTTAGGCGCGACTGTAAGATTTCGACTTGTTTTGAATTGTAAGCAACAAATTTGGAATGACAATGCGCATGGCTGGTTTCTGATATGAACAATTAGCACCAAATGCCAGTTTAACATTTAACAGCTCATTGCCAAAGATCGCCCCATCTTGAACCTCACATTAAATACTAAATTTTATATTTATGTAAATTTTTCCTTGATCTTGTTTTAATTCAACAGCACCCTTGGCAGTCCAACGAGCAATGCGCGTCATTTTCCGAATGATTTTCTGTGGGGCGTCGGCTCGTCCTCTTATCAAATTGAGGGCGGCTGGAATGCGGACGACAAGGGCGAGTCCATTTGGGATTATATGACACACAAGAGTCCCGAGAAGATAGTCGATCAATCCAACGGCGATATCACAGCGGATAGCTATCATCAGGTAAGGCAACAGTTCCGTGGAACATAAAACTGAATTGTATAACCGGGCAAATCGCATCACGGGTCAAGGGTTACACTACTCCAGCACACGTTGAGGTAATCGAACTGGAATTATTTAGATGGAATGCGAGTTTCCTTGCGGCCCTCGGCCGACACTTAACTTTCCTCGGCCGCAAGCCCAGCCATTAATTAAACGCATACACTCAATTAATCAGAGCTGAAAATAAAACCCTGTTCGACAATTTAGTCATTGTCAGCACAGCAGCAGCACAGGTGTCTGTTCAGGTGGGTCACCGATTCAGATTTATGTGCAATATATACTACAGAGAGAACTATGCAAATTTTGTAAACGTCTCGCTTGGTGGCCTGCACTTGAATTAACTTTGTCAGCTGCGCGTTTGAGCCCAGTCGAATCATATTTAAAAACTCTGACTAATGGCCACTAATTGTCATGCTTCCATTGATAAGTTCACGCTAATTGCCTGTATCATTGCGCTGTCTTGAAGATTAAACACTTCAATTGGTTTATGAATTGGTTTCTAATGAACTATATAACTATTCAAGACATCTTAGCAAACAGTAACAGCAGTTTTCTGGTTCAAATCTCAGGCTTGTGTTTCAGAGAGTCGGAAATTGAAATTTAGTTTAAAAATTCCCAACTATGCCCTATACGAACAACATTGGTAATAAGCTACCTAAATAGTTCATGGAAACTGTCGTTCAAGAAGTTCGATAAGATACTAAAGATAAAAAAAAACATGTAAATTTCAAAGTTGAGTTGTTTCAAAACACATTTCCAAATCTTAAAAAGAACTTTTGAGCAGAGTTCTTCAAATTTGTTCTTGGAGTCTAACAAAGCTCGAAAGGAGCCTGGTCTTGAGATCATTTCATAAATGAGATGCGAAAAGCAACAATGCAAGCCCAATTAATTTCCATAGACAATGTCATCGACAGCATTATGGATCATATTTTAGCTCGACTAACTAATATTTAATTGTTGATAAATCGATTTAGCACAAGACATGATTGCGTGATATATGTTATGTTGGCGGAGCTCACAATGGCGTGGCACAATCTGTCAACTAATGCCAGTTTTAAAGCAGGTGTCTCGTTGCGTTTGGTGGTCATTGTCGGCTAACAAATGAATCCAAGCCCGGCCAGCTGAAAGGGGCGACGCCCCCATGTCGCTGCCAACGCAGTGTTGGAGCCCCAGGCCAACTTCTAGCGTGTCGAATTGTTGTCTCAATGCAAAGCACAAAATTAGCCATATAGAAAATAAATTAAAAGTATATAAAAATAAACAAACAAAACCCGTGACCATGTCGTGGTTTGCATGTGTCGCCAACTGGTTTTTCGGAAAATACCTGACATTCTTGGCCAGCTAAAGCCGACTGCGACTTGGTCGAATGCTTGTATTTGGAATTCTTATCTAGAATTGTTGCGTTTCTTCTGTTCCATTGCAGTGGCGACGCGACGTGGAGATGGTGCGCGAGCTGCATGTCACCACGTATCGATTCTCGCTGTCATGGCCCCGGATCATGCCCGGCGGCTACATGAACCATGTGAGCACCGCGGGCATCAAGTACTACAGCAATCTGATTGATGAACTGTTGAGATACAATATCACGCCCATGGTGACCATCTATCATTGGGAGCTGCCGCAGCGGCTGCAGGAGCTGGGCGGCTGGACCAATCCGGAGATAATACCGCTGTTCAAGGACTATGCGCGCCTGGTGCTCGAGATGTACGGCGATCGCGTCAAGTTGTGGACCACCATCAACGAGCCGTGGCATGTGTGCGAGCACGGCTATGGCGTCGACTACATGGCGCCCTCGTACAACTTCCCGGGCATACCCGCCTACCTGTGCGGCCACAATCTGCTCAAGGCCCATGCGGAAGTGGTGCACATGTATCGCGATCATTTCCAGCCGCGTCAGGCCGGTCGCATTGGCATTACGTTGGACACATCGTGGCCGGAGCCGAGGAATCCGGACTCTGCCGAGGATCGCGAGGCCTCGGAGCGGGCCATGCAGTTCTACGTGGGCTGGTTTGCACACCCGATCTTCTCCAAGCACGGCAACTATCCCAAGATCATGATCGAGCGCATTCGCAATCTCAGCAAGCAGCAGGGTTTCGGTGCCCGTTCCCGTCTGCCCGAATTCACCAACGAGGAGATCCACCGCATTCGCGGCACCTCCGATTTCTTCGGCATCAACTCGTACACCAGCAACCTGGTGACTCCGAACGGTCACAACAACACCGGCAAGTTTCCCGTACCGTCGTTCAATCACGACATGGGCGTCGTCGAGAGTCAAGCTGGCGTGGACTGGCCCGGTTCGGGATCTTTCTGGCTCAAGGTAAGTCACCTGCGCTTTCTATAAATAATACAAGCCGCAATTAAGTGGCCAGCAGATGGTTGTCCGGGGGCGGACTCGCTAATCAGCTGGGATGAGCTAATACTCGAATGGGCTGGACGCCATAATTGGGGGTGGGGCAAGCCACAAGATGCTTTCCACAATTTAATTTGTGCCGTGAATGAATGAATAATGACAAGGTGTTGCAGTCAGAGGGTGGCCATCAACTACTTAGCCAAGATTAAAATGGGGGTGACTCGAGCTCGAGCGTTTGGCTCGAGGGTTGCGCCCCTTTTGGGTTGAATGAACCCCAAACAGATTTCCCATGATGCTTAACTCACACACACACACATCTCCCCTCTGCTTGCAGGTCTATCCCAAGGGCATGTACAATCTGCTCATGTGGATACATCGCGAGTACAACGGACCCGAGATCATTGTCACGGAGAACGGGGTCAGCGATCGTGGCGGCTTGGAGGACTACGCCCGTGTCGACTACTACAATCTCTATTTGTCCGCCGTGCTGGATGCCATCGAGGATGGCGCCAATGTCAGCGGCTACATTGCCTGGAGCCTGATGGACAGCTACGAGTGGAAGGCGGGCTACACGGAAAAGTTCGGCCTCTATCATGTGGACTTCAGTGCGCCGAATCGCACACGCACGCCCAAGATTTCGGCGCGCGTCTTCGCCAACATCTGCAAGACGAACGCCATCGACTGGAGCTATCGACCAGCGCTGGACGAGCACCAGCTGGTGGTCGCCGCCCGTCTGCCCGCGCTGGAGACGGAGGCGGCAGCAAACACGGCGGCGACATTCAGCTGGAGTCTGGCACTCCTGCTGGGCGTCGTCCTTGCGTGGCACTCCTAGAGGATGCCGCTCCTTGCCATATGAAACGACTTAAGCGCTATTTTCACATATTGTTGCAAAGTATTTTTAGACATAGCATCTAGGTTTCCTCAGACGGAATGTATTGTATATTGTGTATATATATTTCTAAAAACTATTTAAGAAAACAACTCAAAATGAATAAACAATTGTTGTGATATTTGAAAATTAACTGCAACGCCTTTTAATGTTTTTAGCTGTTATTTGAAAGGTTTTACAGATTGAATCCAAATGGGAAAAACAGACCTAGGCGTACGCAGGAGCTACTCTGTCTGGTAAGCTAGAGAGAGAGAGAGAAAGAGAGAGAGAGAGAGAGAGAGAGATAGAGAGAGAAATATCTAAAAGATCCAAGAATTAAAGACAGAATCCCACCCATATACTGCCAGATATAATGAGATTCATGAGCTTATAAAAAGGTTTACATACATGAAATTACTTTACGACCGATCGTTCCTATGGCAGCTATATGATATAGATATAGTCCGATCCGGCAACAAAAGGACAGACTCTTAAAACTGAGTGATTAGATCGCATCGTAACAGACAGACGGACGGAAGGACAGCCATACATGGCTTTATCAAGTCAGCTGTTGATGCCGATCTAGACTATAGAGGATCTAGACTATATAGGATATACACTTTATGAAGTCGTCTCTTTGTAAGCGTTACACATTTCATGACAAAATTATAATACCCTCTACAAGATAATGGAAAAGATTTTTTGATGGGAAACAAAGAATTTAAATAGAAAAGAATAAAGATTTTGTTTTAGCTTACAAAGCAATTATTGAAATGAAGAAGCAAACGAAGACTGGGTTTTTACGTTAAGTGTATAAAAAGTAATAAAAAGGTAAACAAAAAAAAAAATAATAAAAGTCCAGACAAAAAAGCTACAAATGCTAGATGTTTGTTAAAATAATAGCGTCGAGCTCGTTCTATATAACTTTAGAATGGTTTAACTTATTTAAAAAGAGAGAAGCGTTTCGCTGTTTGAGTTAATTTGAAAGTGCCCAGAACACTGGCTGCTGGAATATTCAAGGACGGGCTGTTTGTTCTGTAGAATAATAATATAAAACACGTTCAGGTGCGTTTGTGTGGCTAATCGGTTGTTAACAAGTTAAGAGCTCGGCGCGAAGTCACGGCCACATCAAGATTATTTGCTGGGAGGGTTGTTCCAGTTGATCCGATTAACTTTTACATATCAAAAGTCAAAGACATTTTACACTGGCCCATTAAGCATAGAAACCAAATGTCTCGAACTGTTTCCGCAACAAATCAAAAATCAGCGTCACAAACAGAAACAGAAAATTGGCCAGCCTTTTGTCTGGGCGACTAACAAAAAGGCCACGTTTCGTTGAGCATTTTCTAATGGGCATTAGCTATTAGCTATTATCCACAGCACAATGCGCCCCGATGATAGCCGATCAGCAGATCAGTCCGTGTTTATGCAATGGCCCGGCTCCATAGATCAAAGCTGGGCACCAGCTGTTTCTGTCTGATTCTCAGGCATTTCAATAATTTAATTGTAGGGGTGGTTAGCTTCCAAGCATGAACCTGAATATACTTATAATAAAACACACATTTTAGCAAATGATTATATTAAAATCGCTGTGCTTATGCATATGAGGGCATATTGTCTAAACGTTCCCGGGCCCAAGTTCTCGGCCCCATTTCTGGGCTAGTTCCTCGTATCGTTTCATATGTCACATCCGCTTGTAGCAACAGTCAACAAATCAACAGATTTTGCTTTCAATATACGATTAAAGCATTATTTGCTTTTGTTCTTGTTGTTCTCGTTGTTGTTGTTGTTGTTGTTGTGTTTGTTCCTAGTTGACTTTCAAAGCATTTCAAGTGACCAGAAATAGAATCAAAGTTCGAGACGGAACCAGAACCAGTTGCCTTTCATTTGGGCAGCGTCTACAGCATTTTAACTTATTATACCCTCTCCACAATATTGAAAAGGGTATGTTAGTTCCGGCGGACAAAATGTAAAAGTTAGTTGGGCCACAAGTAGATAATTTTCAGAGTTAGGTTTACGAATGATAAAGAATAGTTGCCCCCCAATATAACAAAACATTTCAGGACCCAGCCTCGGGTTATAATATATGGCTTTTATCTAAGCATATTCGGTAAATGACAATATTAGGCAAAGACCCGCATCTTGTATATGAAAATATTCACGTCTTGCTATATTTTCGGCACTTGTGAATAACAAATTTAATATGATAAGCCCACATTGATACCGAACCTTGGGTTCACGGTATTCGAAAACTAGGTACACGAACCAAGCCTGGGAGCTGAAAAAACAACCGAAAATGTATTGAATTTTCAGCCTTGGCAATTGCACTGAAAAGAGAGTATTGTGCGGTCGGTAGCAGTCGACTACAACATTCCCAGTTGAATTTTATTAGCATTTACGTGGATTTATTGTTTTGGTGTTTAAGTCACACGAAAAGCTTGCCATAAATTATATATATGTATATATAAAAGACTGAAACTGAAAACTAGGAAAACCGCACAGCCACAGCCCCAGGGGGTGGAGTCAGGGAAAGGGGCTGGCAAAGGTCTCTCCAGTCTCGAGCTCAGCTGCACCTGTTGGCACGAGAGTCGCGAGCGTGAGGCGCCTGCCGGCAACAAATCTAAGTAGATTCAAGTATATATAAATGAGATACACGCTCGGAGTCTGGAGCATTGTTCGTCTGAAGTGTTTACAGGTGACGCCGGGCATGGGTGTTGTACAACGAGGGGGGGAGCTACTAATTAAGATAAATGATGCACAAGTGAGAGCCACGAGCAATAAGAATCGAGAATGATTGCAGCACGAGTCACAGAGCTAGAGCTAAAAGAGATAAACTCATCTCGCTTAAAGACATTTCTAGTCGAACAACTGGCGACATTAATGATAAGAATTATTGGACAAAGTCAGAGTATCTCATTTTCTTTATCTCTTATCAGCTGCCTAATAACAAGCTGCCTCAAAACTTGTTTTAATTAAATGCATTGTGCGCGAGCACAACCCCTGCTGGAGCTACGCCCCTGCTGCCTGCTCTTACGTCAGCTCTCAGCTACAATGGGGGGTTGCTGGCCCCTAGCTGAAGTGCAGCACTAAATATTATTAAAACAAATGCACAAGCCACAACACAAACAAAACAGGGAAAGCGCACGAACAAGATGAGACGAGTTGCAAGTTGCAAAGTTTTGCGGCTGATGAAATTTTACAAGTGCATTACATCAGCTTTCATGTCGAAAAAGATTTTGCAGCACGAACTTCTCGAGGGGAAACGAGGCACAGAATGCATAATTCTGATGCCCAACTGGCTGTTTATTCAGAGGGCATTACGCTATTTTATAAATTGATATAATTTGGCAACAGTTTAAGTCCTTAACATTACCCGGATGTTAATTTTTAACTTGCCTGTTAATGTACTATGTTGCTATGTTAAGCGTCTGTTAGCTAACATAACATTATCTATGCGCATAAAAGTATGCAGTAAAAATTTACATTAGAATTATTTTCAAAGCACGCTGTAAAAATATGCCGCACAAATATTTTAAACTAATTTGAAAAACTTAAAAACTTTTAAAAAACTTAATTTAAGAAAGTACTTAATTATGAGTTTCTTTAAATGGTCAGATATCTAATGCGAAAAGCTATCTCCCGTTTGCTTCGGAAATCCTTGAAAACCAACACTAAGCACGAGCCGATTGATCCTGCAGTTGGGGCTGTGTTAACTTATCAACCGGATCAGCAGCTGCTTTCCAGTCACGTGCTCAGCTTGTGGCTGATTCGCTGCTTGCTGAGCCATTTATCAAACATTTATAGACCTCATTGCACTTATTGAAAATTAATACGGATTAGGTGCCACAATAGTGCAAGAATCAGCACACATGCTGAATACAACCACCCGCTACGCCCTCGACAAGCCACATCAACAAGCATCAGACTAATCCTGCGAACAAGGCATTTGCGCACAAGTCCCACATCTGCCTGTTCCGAACGTGCTGAGAGCTGAAAAACTAATGGAACCAATAAACGAAAAGGATTAAATAACAGCCAAATGTTCAACTGCAACAAGGGAAAATGCTGTCAGATTCGTTAAATATAGAAAAATGGCTTTTCAATGCCAACAAATAGTAATAGAATAATAACAATGTGTACACTGATTGCGCCTGTGCCTAATTTGATTAACATTTACACCCAAAATGCAATCAGAGAGAAAGAGAGCTTCCATGTCGATGCGGGCGCATGTAAAAATCTATATATTATATGTTGCATTGATTAACCCTTTACCAATAGTCAATCAAACAGTTAATTGCGCAATTTTCCACACCCGAAATCTAATAAAGCACTTTCAGCTGTGAACACTTTGGCGCTGATTGAAATAGTATTCAAATCGCTTCGGAAGTGTTGCCCCCATATGACCGACAAAATTGTCGCGCTCTGCCATGCCTCCGACCAGCTTCCACCCTCCAGCCGCCCATCCATGTACGAGAAGATTACATTAAAACACTTACGTACCAGCACCCTCTGTGGATATAATTTTCGTCGATAAGCAGCCATAAAGTATCTTTGGGCTGTGCTTTTGTGGACTCGTTAAATGCTATCCATGTCAATGGAACTCTGAAGCTGTCCCCCCAGACAGTTAGTAATTGGCGTGGACAAGCAGCGCTTGGGCGCTTGCTATAGATTCATGTGAACATAAAAGATATCCATGAAAATACTCGGCATATAAATTGTTTTTGTCGTAAATCTGGCATTAAAATCTGAACACCGACTTTTTGGTCGAAATTCATGTCAAAATCTTACCCCAAGATTCGTCTCTAGACATGGTTCTAAACTTCTCAGTCCCTTAACTCGGCCAAATCTCATCCGATTTTTACGAGGTTGGGCTTTTTGTTCATGGTTTTCCTCCTAGATTAATCTGGCATTAAAATCTGAACACCGATTTTTTGGTCGAAATTCATGTCAAAATCTTACCCCAAGATTCGTCTCTAGACATGGTTCTAAACTTCTCAGTCCCATAACTCGGCCAAATCGTATCCGATTTTTACGAGGTTGGGCTTTTTGTTCATGGTTTTCCTTCTAGATTAATCTGGCATTAAAATCTGAACACCGATTTTTTGGTCGAAATTCATGTCAAAATCTTACC